TTACATGTGTTGTACTGTTTAATGTGAACTTGCACTAAGTCCACTTGCATAAAGATCCAAGTAAAAAGAAAAAACTGGCTACTGCTTGAAGTATCATTTATATTTTAAAACATAAAGTGCTTTGAATTTTGATGGAAGAAAGCAACTTTGGCGAAGGATATATTAAAGTTCTGGACGCAGTGAACTGTTGACCCCCAGCTTTTGTGATAAAACAAGAATACAGAGGAAGCCCAGCAGGCACTAGAAATCCACAGTATAATAGGACAATGTCACACTGGCAACAACACAAAAATAGTACTGTGTGCTAAATAGTCAAGTTTCTCACATCAGGAAACAGGATTTAATTAGGGATGCACAGATACTTTTCGAGTACCAGTGCAGATACTTGGCATTTTCATCGGAACAACCAGGGTTGCAGCGGTTGCAGCTGGGACCTGGCTCTGGCACTCCACCAATGTCCTGAAATCATTAGTCTGTATTGTTTTAGAAAAACTGTCACATGACTATAAACATAAATGTATCAGTACTCGTACTTGTAAGTACTCGTACTCGCAAAACTGGTATCTGTGCATCCCTTTATTTATATTTATTAAAAAAAAATCGTACATTAAAACAGAGATGTACAAATCCCAGGCGCTCCGTGTGCTCCTTACAAATGGCAGCTGCCTCCTAATTTTTGAATTTTTCTGTAGTGTAGTCTTGGAGCTCAAAAGTATCGGTACATGTACTCGTACTTGTACCGAGTACTGTACTTGGTATCTGTGCAACCCTAGATTTAATATTCTAACTTCAGAAAGGCAAATTATTGAGGGGAAATCATTCTAGTGAAATATATACTGCAATAGAAAAGACCATAGTAGTTTAAGGACCCTGCCCAATGCTGTTGTGTCCATAATTACATGAATATTTGCTGCTAGGCTGTAACCAGCTTGAGCAACTACAGGTGAAACTCGAATAATTAGAATATCGTGCAAAAGTAATGGCAGTAAGTGCTGCAAAAGGGGCCCAAACCAAGTACTGAGTACATATGCATGCTTGTACTTTTCAGAGGTCCGATATTGTTCTATGTACAATCCTTGTTTTATTGATTGCATGTAATAATCTACTTTTTTGAGGTTGTGGATTTGGGGTTCTTGGGGTTTTCATGAGCTGTAAGCCATAATCATCACAATGATGACAAATCACGGCTTGAACTATCTTGCTTTGCATGTAATGAGTCTATCTCATATATTAGTTTCACCTTTTAAGTTGCATTAGTGAAATAAATGAACTTTGCACGATATTCTAATTATTCGTGTTTCACCTGTACTTCTCTTTTCTTGGCTTTGCAGGTCTTCCCGAATCTCAGTGGGTTGATTGCTGTGCTATTAAGCAGGGCGGGAAGGACAAACATTGAGTTATGAATATGTATCTGACTCAACCCCTAAGGTCCTTGTAATGGTTTGGGAGATGATAAATATTAAGGGCACCTTTCCAGCGGATTGTCTCTCCTTTTTTTTCTACTGTGCTCTACCTAGGAAGGATGTGTATTTAGAATGACTCGTCCCTTGGACTTTGCGTCAGCCTAGAGCACGTACCAGGGGCCAAGGACTTAAGCTCTTGCTGGAGTGGATATCTGCTCGAAGTTTGGCTGGAAAAGGATATTTTTGCCGAAGACGGTCACAGAGGAGCTGGATGGATGCTGCTGTCTGGGCACTGTAAGAAGCATTCACTGCTTACAGAGCAAGATATCCTTAACTGGTTAAGAGCCAGATCGATTATAGACAATCACTGCAACTTAAGACTAACTGCTCTTACAGTGGAAGCAATTACCTAGAGCAGTGGTTCTCAACCTTTCTAGAGCCGGGACCCCTTGGAAACATTTGCCAAGTTGTGGTGACCCCCCAATGGTAAAATTTAGGGAAGACGCGGCTTCTGCAGCAACATCTGGCGGCGTGGCGGGAGAACTGACACTGCTGCACTAGGAGAGGGCTGAGGAGGACTCTCACCTATCACAGCATAAAATCACACAGCGACCCACAGGTTGAGAACCACTGGCGTACGCCATCAGAATAAAAATAAATAAATAAACCACCATAGGAATGCATAGCTAGATTTCTATTGGCTATTTCACTTTGCAATAGCCAATAGCAAACTAGCTATTGCACCCGCACCCTCTGCTGCTGACCTGCTGACCTAGAGGCTGTTCTTAAAGTACCTACTGCTACTTACAAATACCTGTCATCTTTTTGGAATCTATTTTGGCATCCAGCACCCCTAAACCCTCTCTAAGTTTTGAGTTTGGCAATAAAAGGTTAAAGAAAAAACAAAAAAACTAATATGACTAACGGCCAAAGTATTTTTATGCCCAGTCATACACCAAGGGCCAGAATCTTGGGATTGGGATGTTAGCCCACCAAGACACTTGGGAGGACAACATGCTCCACCTACAGGTAGGGGGGTGCTACACAATGTAGCTATGAAAATGTATCCATATGACATAGGGCTAAGATGGATCATCCTATTATTCTACATTCTAGAGCTAGGAAAGCGATCTTAGTTTTTTGACTACTGCAGTGGGGAAACCAATGCACACCTGCTCCTATTAACGCACACACTACTACCCATGCCCTTTACCAGCCCCTTCCACTGACTGAATTCAAGCCTTGCTCTCCTCATTCTTCTTCAGTGTAAATACTGTTACTTTGCCTGTGGAAATCAGCTACAGTAACAAACTCAAAGCCTGCTTGAAGGAGCCTTGTATGTCAGGGTGCAACCCTGGATGAAAACTATAATAATCAATAATGGAAAGCGTTACTTAGAATGCGATTAAGTGTGTTCACTAGTTTATGCTTCCCTGTACTAATTTCAACTTCAGGTCACAAACATGAAGCATGCAGAAGGTTATGCTGTTAAGAGCCATGTGACAATGCTGCACCACACCCAAAAGCCCTGTACACCACTGTATGTCTTCAGTGATTATTACAAAATGCTATGGACAGGAATCCAAGCAGCACAAAGGCAGATGCAAAAAAGTCTACTTTGCATGAACTGCTGTTAGGTAGCTTTATAAAATGTAATGAAAACCAGTGGAGAACAAATTGGGCTGTTTCTTCTATGTTATTCTGAAAAAAAAAAAAATGTGGTTTAAAATAAAAATAATTAAAACTAAAGAATACAGGGTCTAGTGTATTATTATTCTCTGGGACCTGACAGTTGTTTCTCAATTAGACTGAGCACTCTGGAAGGTGGCTCGGAATATAAAGTCAGAGATTCATAACAAAGATTACTTGGAATTGTTATGTTAAAGAAAAGGCAGCAGAGAGAGGAGGAGGTTGGGGATGGTTCATTATTTTGTTTAGCTCGCCATCTGACTTGGCTGAGCTGTTTTAATCTCAGAGAATTTCCATAGTCTATGTGATTTAAATGCTGATAGTGCCACATTTAATTGTCAGTTCTGTGATGTGACCTGACAAAACAAGCATTTGAAGTACTGTTTAGCATAGCTGCTTAGTTAAAGACAGCCATGCTCCACTTAGAAATTCAAATGCCAATTCCACTTAAACCATCCTCCAGAGTAGGAAGATGATTTTAGTCTAGCTGACCCTCTGCAGTGGGGTTATCTTATAATAATTCAGTGCTTGCACTCTCATTACTCTAACAATGTGTGTGGCATACGGAAGCGAATCAAGCAAAATCACTGCTTTGTAATACTGTTGTTTGGGGTCTACGACATACAGTCCGCTGTTGGTAAGCAGTTCTTATTTCAAAAACATAATTATAATATTTTCTCTACCCGAGTGCCTTTGCCCTGCAAGTCACTGTAGACAACACGCTCAAAGCTAACTTCAAGGACAGACAGAGGACTACTAATGCAGTATAATCGTGTGAACAATATTTGCAATTAGGAATAAATAGAAGCTCAAAGAAAACATTGAAATAAACAAATTAAAAGTGCCCACAGTAAGTGTTCAGAATAGCTAATAGACCAAGTATGGACAATGGCTTTTACATTTACACAAGAATACAGCAAATCAAAAGCAGCTAAATGTAAATGTTTGTAATCAGACAGGTGCAGAGCTTTAGTATATACGGTATATTGTTTGCTAAATGTGTTACTAAGCAGTCTAAAACTCTTTAAAAGTTGTCCTAGACAGTTTCCCTCCCAATCTGGCTTTTGTAACATTTATCATATACAGTAAACCTTTCATGACAGAAAAATGGGGCATGCCTTTGCTAAAAATTTTAGCTGACTGGCTATTTTGTAAACTATCTGCCAGCTATCTTCTTTTAGTACTTTGGGTCATAGACCTGAAGCAAGTACTGTATGCAGATATGGAAAGTCAGAGAAAACATGCTCTAGCTTGCATACTTTTGTTGGTCTGTGAGACTTTGGTGTTAAAGTAAGAAGACAAATATGACAGCCAGCCAACTACCACTTTTTAAAATAATTGGTCAGCAATAGCAGACCTCAGTCTGTTTTTCTCATGAACAATTAATTTTAATATTGGAGTTATATCAGTAGAAGAAGCAACTGGACTGGTTAGAAATTCTGGACCAATCACTAGCCCCACCCCTGGTGGTAGGATAATGTTTGTATGTTTGGCTGGATAAGGAAGTGGACTAGTGTAACATTGAATGGTAGACACGGTTTCTGTTCCTTTCCCACCCCCTCAGACTATGAAAGCTTGTCTTACAGCGGAACTAGACCCACCAATATAACAGCCTCCCAATACAGTTACTTTCAAGGCATGCCTCTAGTAATAACGGTCAGGATTGCCAGTGTGCTTATTTCAGCTTTCAACCATAGTTTCAAGCTCTCAAATGAGCTGGTGTCATAGCCGAGCACAGGTGCAGCACCACGACAACTGAAATTTAAATAGAGGCCAAGATGGCACCTTCCTTGCCTGTAAATTATAGGAGGGTATAGTTCTGATTTAAGTCACGCACCAAGATCTGCTGGTATATGATGTTTAGTCCCCATTTAAATTAACTGGGCATTCACTTAGAAAATGTCTTACCTGCACACTTGGTCCTTGTAATTAGTGGAGGCCCTGGTTGCCCTGTACCACCTTCCCCTGGCCTTGTAAGTAGAACTCGAATCTCATACTCTGTATCTGGGTCCAAATGCCATAGCTTGTAGGTTGGGGCATTCACTGCATGAGTTTCAGTCCAAGTCCCAGTGGTCATCCTATATTCCACCTCCTTCAGAATGATAGGCCCATCTCCAATAATCGAGTTGGCATTCAGCTGAATAAGGAGGTACGTTGGACCAACACCAAGGAGCTGCGGTGGGGCAATGGGACGTGGTGGCTCTGTGAAGTTAAAAAAAAAAAAAAGATTGAAATAAATAAAAAAAATTGCTTGTGGAAGTATTAAACCCAAATAGACAGATAACCAATTTTTGGATGCAAAAACAAAACTAATAGAACAAGTGGCAACAGAGATTGCACACATGGTACTAGATCGATGAGCAGATCGACGGAAGAGCACACTCCATCGGTCAGGAAAAATAAACCTCAGTGTTTGACTGGATGCTTGATTTTCAGTCAACCAAATAAGTGCACACTAAGATGAGTGGTGAGCTGCATTTTGCAGGCAAAACTGACCAATACCTATACGTTACAAGAATCAGTAAATTAGAGCAAATTATGGGGTACACAAAGTTCCTCAGCCATCTGCATTGCCATAGTTAACACTTCTTAGAGTTACAGGTTATCAGGATAATCAAAGCAATTCTCGTTTTGTGGATATTTGCTTGTGTCCCTTTTAAACAATTATGCTTATTCGGGAAGAGAGTGTGTCATGAAAAGCAATGATGTGCAAAGTGCAGTAACCCATAGAAAGAAATGGCATATTACTTAGATCAGACAAGGATCATTTTTGACTGTATTGTATGATTTATTGCACTTTAACTTACTAAATAATGCCGGTCATGTAACAATAGAACATACTAAACAGTGACTAATCAATGTATCCTCTACTGAGCTGTAGCTATAGCATACAAGCCTAGAAGAGGGAAAGAAAGGTCTGTATGTTTAGGGTCAACGGCTGAAGGTATCCAATTGATTTCTATACACAAGTGAACGCCTGTATAAAGGCACAAGCACCACATCCAACAGCCTGCCAAAACATGCTACAATAGAGTGTTTGTCAGCCAAAACAAACATCCTGAATAAACTAAGGCCCATCTTGGCTCCAGGGAACTTTATTTTTAGAGCACAAAAGAGCCACAACCACAAACGTTGTTTTGTGTAAGATGTTATGTGGACTGTGAGAAACACTTATGCAGTGATGGAAACATTAAAAACAAACTACACACCCCACAGAATCTTTTAGATCACATAAAAATACTGCATAACACCAAAAAGAAATAAAGCATATCCCTCTCTGCGCCAGAGTTAGAAAAAATTGTCAAAAGGAAAATATAGGAATGTCTACAGTCTTTGTGCCAGAGTTTTCAAGCATTTACTCATTTGTGTCAATTAAACTGCAATCAGTTGTCCTCATAATGGAACCATGGAAAACTAAAGTAGGCATTTTTCACATGTATATGGTGTCTAAAATCAAATAGTAGTCAGATGTGCCTCTATGTGAAAAGGATCATCACCTCAGACTGTAAACTCTCACGGGCATGGCCCTCCTAACCACCTTGTCTCGATTTGTATTGTAACTGTAATGTCTTCCTTATATTGTAAAGCGCTGTGGAAACTGTTGGCGCTACAGGGATGTGCAGTGAGGTCAGTTGGCAGGTGAGGCTACCGTTCACTGAGCTACTGATGAGGCATCTAGATGGATGGCATCTATGTTTTTTTTTTTTTTTTATTTAATTGGACCAATGGTGCTTTGCCATTGGTCCAAACCATCCACAGAGCACTTAATTTTCTCATGACTGTACTTTGTGTTGTGGGTAAACAAAAGTAGCGCCCTTGAGCATTATGGAACTACCAATAATAAAATAAATACTAATAAAACAGAGATAGGCACACAGCCAAAAGGTGAGAGAGCACCAATTATATTTGAACTGTCAATGCGTGGGCATGGAAAATATAGCAGGTTGTACAAGCAAAAATGTAGTCACCTGACCCTTATGAGTCTTGTATATGGTTGGACTCAACTTAGTCTTGTGTGCATACAGCTTGCTTTGATACCTGTGTTACGTATCATAAGCACTCATTTTTGCAACAATGCCGCTGGCTCAGTCCTAGCTGTTTTGATTAACAGTGGCTCCCAGCTAAAGCTGGCCATACACTTAAAGATCAGCCTATGGTCAGATGGAAAAAGTGCAACAGATTCCTCCAGCTACGCTAAAAACTGTTGTGTGGATGGAGGAATCTCCCACTGGGCCAAGCTTCAGTATCTTACTAGTCGGCCCCGCTGGCTGTCAAAATACCTGAAAAATCTGATTGGTACAGGCATTGTTCAGGTATTTTGAGAGCCAGCAGGGCCATCTGACCATAGGCTAATAGAAAAATCTATAAAAAATCTATAGGTGTATGGCCTGTATGACAGCTTTACCATCATTCAAAATAGCACAGTGTCCTGCATCTCCCAGTAGCAGCCCATAATCAGTTTGGTACAGTGGCAAAGGGGAACTGGTTGGCAGGATCACCAGGTATTTTATCAGGTCTAAACAAAATAAAATACATTGCAGACTATCTTCACCAAGGCCTATGTAAATAACTCAACACCTAAATTGAAACGTCATTTTTCAGGGGTTTTTTTAATACACAAAAAGAGAACAGATTGTAAAAACAAAAAGAGCTGGTATTGGAAGTATAAAGTTTGTTTTGAAAACACATATTTCACTGAACCTTAACTGATAAAGGATCAGCCCCACAGCCAGTTTTATGGTTGTCTAGCTGGTTCTGCATCCATAACCTCCCTCTAATTTGTCTATAGGTGATGCATACATCATTCACAGCATGGTTCCAATAACTCCATGATCTTTCCAATCATTAGCAGAAAGCCATAGTGCCCTCTGAACTAAAAGGCAATTGTTGCAGCATCCTCACTTAATACTGATGTGCATAGTGAATATTAGGTTAGAAAGCAAAGTAAACATTGTTTTGATTTTCAGCAAGCTCAGAAAACTGTAAGATTCTCCTTCAACCATGAAAATTAATTTCAAACAGTTTGTTCAAAGACAACCTGACCTCCTGGTTTCAGCCAAGGCTTTTCTGTCCTTATAACAAGGCAAAGCTTTTTCCTGCTGTGATTACATAGGAATGAAAATAAATGTTCGTGCCTAAAAACAAGATTTTTGTAAAGTTTCTTGTATGCGGATACCAACCTGATCCAAGTCAATTCTTCCATGTGTTACTTTTCCTGTCCATGAGTCATCAAACAAGAAAACCATTGTTTTTTTTTTCTCTTTAAATTACTGCATGGCACGTTCACTATGTCAGGTGATGATTAAAATAATATGGATTTTGGGCATTAAGCATAAACATTCTTCAGAATAAAGAATTGCCCCCTCCCAGATATTTCCCCAAGCACTGCTAATATCATTAAAGGATAGGTGCACTCTAAGACAAACTGCACTTATTCCTTTTTTCCCCCCTTACCTCCTGACCTAACCTACCTCACCTTCACCCTCCACAGATGCATACTTACCTTGATCTGCCAACCACGACCTCTGGTGTTTATTTACATCCAGCGCCATAAGTTTCAATCACCTGCACATTAGAGACCCATAGACATTTATGGGGATGTGTTTAGAAGCCGGAGACGAAGGGGGACGGCCCCACAGAAGTCTATGGGGCTGTAAAGAGTTGACACAGGCAGGAGAATGAATCTTGCTTTGCTGGATGTAAACAAACATCGGAGGCTGCGGTCAATGGATCCAGGTAAGTATGCATCTGTGAAGGGGGAAGAACACCAGTCAGCAGGAGAAAGAGGGGGCACAGGTGGTCAGTAGGGTGAGGCATTGGTACCTTGTAGGGGCAAGTGGGGACCATTACTCTATGGAGGAAGGGGGACACTGATGCTCTGGAGAGAGGGGGCCCTGGTGTTTGTTGAGGTTAGGGTAGGGACATTGGTGTCAATGGAGGCCATTATTGTTCATTGGACTACTTGCCTATCCACACTCTACATCCTGAGCAGCTGCCTCCCTTTTTAAAGCTCAACTCTAGCCCATATAAAAGTGAAGTCAACTAACCTCTGTAGTTAATACATAATTAAATATGTATTTTTTCTCCAAGCAATTTAGGTACCTGAGCCTGACTTCGTATAAGCCTATTGCAATCAGCTGTGCAGCACAGCTCAGGCAGGGTGAGGGATAAGCAGCACAAGAAACCAATCAGTTGTGTTGCAATGCATATGTTTGAATGAGAAGCATGTTGATAGAAGCTCTCTTTCTTTTCTCTGTCCAGACACAGTGAAAAATGTAGTCACCTGCCTAACGGCACTGTGCTCTGTGGCAGAGCTGTGTAAATCTCAGATACAGATGGACAGAAAACAAATTCTTTAGTAGGTAAAACATCTCCCATTTAAATATTTTATCTTTGCATTTAGTAGTTTGCCTGGAGTTCAAGCTTTAAAAAGATCAGACTGACCACGACATACAAGAACCAGTCAAATATTTACCCTTGTATGACCATTGAGAAGGTGGCAATATACATTAGACACTACATAGATGTGAAATGTTTGTAAATCTGACTATTTTTAAAATTTGCAGACAGACTTGCAGTCGCATGCCATATCAAAAATGTGTTCTAAGGTATTGATTGCTGAATGATCCTTCACGTAAAATCAATGTAATTTCCGGTAACAAAAATGTTCTACCACATTATTCTCCTCTAAGGACAACAAATGATTAAGGTGAAGCTGAGAAGTATTTTCTAAACTAAAAGCACTCCATATAATCTGAAGAATTAACACACAAGGATTCTCTATAATTGCAATATTAGTATAATTATTACATTCTGCTGTTGAAGATAACCTGTACCACAACATTACCATATGCATTTTGTTTAGAGACCTTGGAGAAAAAGCTAGTGATGAAAGAGGCCTGGAGAAGGCAACATGTGCTTGTAGAGTAAAAGGAAAATAATTTTGGGTGAGCTTATTTATTTTTTTAAGTGTATAGGTTTCAAGTGAACATTTTGTCCCTGAACTTGATGTGTTGGAAGCAGACAAAATGGCCAAATGTAAGGATTTGAGAGACTGACAAGGGCTGAATTGTGATGGCTAGACAACTGGGTCAGAGCACCTCCAAAACTGCGGCTCTTGTGTGATGTTCCCAGTCTGCAGTGGTCAGGCCTACCAAAAGTGGTCCAAAGAATGAAAACCGGTGAACTGGCGACAGGATCAT